GTCACACCCACATCCACACCCACACCCACACCCACACCCTCACCCACACCCCTCCCTCACCCACACCCACACCCACACCCACACCCACACCCACACCCACACCCACCTCCACACCCACACCCACACCCACACCCACACCCACACCCACACCCACCCCTCACCCACTCCACACCCACACCCACACCCACACCCACCCCACACCCACACCCACTCCCACACCACACCCACACCCACTCCCACACCACACCACACCCACCACCCCACACCCACACACCCACACCCCACCCACACCACCCACACCCACACCCACACCCCACCACACCCACACCCACACCCACACACACCCACACCCACACCCCACACCACACCCCACACCCACACCCACACCCACACCCACACCCACACCCACACCCACACCCACACCATATACCAAACCATCCATATACCATATACATATACATCTAGATGTCATTGTTTGGTTGATTCTCAGGGTCAGCCCGAGGAAACTCTACACCTCAGTGGGTGATATTGTGTTTCAGTAATGATTAGACGTCAGCGTCGCTAAACTCATTGCTTTTTTTTGTTAGTCGATGGAATATAGCACTAGTATTTAAATATCCTCTAAATATCCATGATTTTTCCATGTATGATGGTTTGTGATATTAAGTTTTCTTTTTTTCACTAGAAGAGACAACAGCTTTCCTGCATCAAATAAAGTACCTTTAAACATTTACCTCGTATCTCATAATTTCCAACAAAGCCTTTATATGTATTGGGGCCATGCTGTTTGAGCGCGATGAACATGGAGTTTCCCGTTGAGACCATTAACCCTGGTGGTACTGACGAGCAGAAATTCCCAAACAACGGTGAAAATGTTGTGGGTCCGTCATATATTCTTAGGTAATCATGCTGGCAATCTTCTCCTATGTCTGAAATACTGGAAAAAGGATAAAGTGTCGTAATTTTAATATTCTATCATTGTGATGGAACTTACAATTGCAAATAATTGTATTCTAAAATATTTAACAAATACTAAAATAAGAGGTTTTAATTTATTAAAAAAACAACTTAAAACAACGACAATTTACTCAAGGAGAATATAACTGTCAGCATCGCCCTGTATAGTCCAGGTGTATCTCATCTTGCGCAGGTTGCCAAACGGATATCCAGGGCTAGAGATGTTACCTTGAGAATCGTTCAGTGTGATGTGGTTGTCTATGGTTGTAATATTTAAATTATGTAAGTTTTAATATTCGAATCATGTTAAAGAATGTTATCTTTAAATGCAATTCAAATAGATAATGTTACATACAGTTGCATGTGTAAGAACTCAGAAAAGTGTGTTCATCTTGAAGCGTTTAAACAATTTAACACAAAAGTTCGAGTTAAAAGATACTTCCCATTTCTGGTTAAGCCTATAGCCAAAGTGAAGAAGATATATTGAAACTCAGAAGCATGAGAACAAAAAAAAATAGAATTAGTTAATTTGCTCTGTTAAGCACTATTACTAAGCTTTTCGAGGATGCTAATTTAACGCAACTAAGTAGAAGCGCAGGTTGTAAGGGCGGGGGTGAAAATAGAGACAGCAACTGCAAAGTTTGTACATTTAAAAAAAAAAAGAAGCAAACATACTTTTGACTCGATCCAACAGCTGAGTGCAAAAACATATCGATTGCATTTTTTCATTTGAATTGATAACTTTTTAAGAAAACTACACATCAGTTCCAACAAATGGATGAAAAAAAATTACAATGAAAGATGTAGAATTACAAAGTGATTTAAATGTTTGTTGTTTCAAGCATAAAGCAAGCTATGCTAGTTTTTTATTTTGTTTTCTTTTTGACAAAGAATGTTATAAAGCAAACAATTCTTGATTCGCTGTAAATTGTTTCAGACAACCCAATCAGGTCGATTTTTTAGGACGCCAAAGAGTTCAAACTTATCGCAGCATGATCATAAATGCATCCAACAATGAAAAAAGGAAGACGTTCTTAAATTTAAAGAAGATATTGTAGTTCTCTTGAAAATCCAACAGCAGATGGTAGAGAAGACCTGGCGTCATCCAACGTCGGTCTAGAAATCAATAGGCAAAAGACAAAGGACGTGGAGAAAATTGTCATTAATATTCATGCCCATTGGGTGTCCTCTTCATTGCAGGAGGTAAATTAATTGTGTGGCCATTGCGGTATTTTAGGTGAGCAAGATGGACATCGACACAGTTGTAAAGATATAGATAGGCAAAACATAATATGTGTTCATCAAGAGCTGCACTTTAAACCTGAAAGCGAATAAAAATTGAACGCAAAATTTTGCTTACTATATTGAACATAATTAAAACATAATAGACGATAGGGCATTGACAAATAACTTCGTAGAAACACAGAAGGAAAGATGGTTTTTGATCGGACTCATTTTAATTAACTAAAGCATATAAAAAGGTACATTAGACATGCTATATTTGTTCTTCTTCCGTGTTCCTTATTCTAGTGGTGGAAGCGATTCCTTTCAAGACAATTAAATATTACCTGTCAACTGGTTATGCGCCATATGGGTCTACGACAAATTCCCGACAGACACTTGCCCAAATACTGTTTGCCCAAACTCATTCTCCCGAATGGACACTTGCCCGAATGCGACAAATGCCTGAATGGACACTTGCCCGAATGCGACAAATGCATGAATGGACACTTGCCTGAATGCGACAAATGCATGAATGGACACTTGCCCGAATGCGACAAATGCCGAAATGTGACGTACGGCTCCCGCGCAATATACACCGTTGACTCCGATTTCAGCACGCTTTCCTTTTTAGAATTGGTTCCATAGCCTTTGTCCAAAAAGAACAAACCACGAGGCCGCAGCTGTTTGATTTTGGAGTTGTCTCTCCTAAAACAGTTGATGACCCTCACCCATCGATTTATCTGTCCGTGGTTTCGAACTTTTCAGTTAAACAACCATGAGATTCACCAACATGACCACGTCGACCCCTGACTAACTATCAAATGGAAAAAAAAACAGAGATATACAGCCAATCTGGTGACGAACTGTAAGTAAGTGTGCAACTGCAAAGGTTTCTCAGTGATATAATCATTTAAAAAAACTGAAATGTTAAATTTGAAGTCAATATTGAAAAACTGGAATGATAAAATTGATGGACGGAGTAGGGGTTTCATTTCTATTGAACTAGAATATTGTAGCTTAAATGTTTAAAATATTTTGTGCTTTAATGAAGGTTGTTTAAAGTTTTAGTGTAGCTTTCTCCTTCATAAGTGCCAATCCTGCCCAATGAGTTTAATTGTTAAAATTAAGCCACGTTATCCCAATATTATTAGATTTTAGGCACTGAATTACTATTGATTTTCTTTTAATGGGAATAATTTTAAAATATTAAAAAAAGTCACAAATTTGGAATGCTATAATAATTTCATTGGCCAATATATTTATTGTTTATTTAAGTTGAATATACCATTTATGCTCAATTAGTCATCTCAAACGTCTCGCAACATTTCAACGTTGTATACATCCTGGTAGGCTATGTAACATTATGAAATTACTAAACTTCTGACCGGTACATCTAATTTACCCACACGATACAGAATATTATAATAGGTCTTAACTGTAATGTTAATAAAGATAAATCATTTTTTTATCTTCATTGTTTATCTACAATTCTCGGTAAAAAAAACAATAGTGCGTATACTATGTCGTTGAACTGTTGATATTTATCTCGAGGATAACCATGTTTGCACCATATTCACATCTATTGCGTAGACCGAAATAATACCCGGCGCATCAATATTGAACAGATCTAAGAGTGGCACTTATCTCTCTACATTAATTTCATTTATAGATTACGAGAAGGTCTATTTGTTTTAGGATATAGAGTCTATGTGATGTACATCCGTCAGGCGGTAGGTCGGGTACTGTGGCTGCCTCTTCTGCAATGCCTTGTCATCTGTCATGTGCTATGAAGCGATCACTTAGTCTGAATTAGTCCCTGATATAGCGCAGCCAACTTCGTATTTGTTCTCATCAGATAAAGTCTAGTAATTGTATGTTGGTTGAATTTGCAGCTTCAATGTGTTGCCAAACTAGTGATGTCTCTATTGCCTGCAACTGCAAAACAGTAAAAAACGCTGGCTGTGCTATCCCAAATAGTCTCAACACATCAGAAAAAGTCGTGGGCATCATTCAAGTTCCCTAATTCAGCCAGGCAGCAGCTTGAGTTACGATCTTACGAGCGACAAAGCTATACTAAATTAGAAAAACGTTGTTTTAAAGATCTATTAAACGTTTCCGTTTTTTTTAAATGCATTGTCCTTTATTTAGGATGAAATACAATTTAGTTTCAAAATAACTATTTTAAAAATAGTTTATAAAATTAACTAACTAAACAACATTTTTAGAAATATTGTTATTGTAAAACTAAATTATGCAATGAATTTTGGCTTACTAAAATAAATCTATCAATAGTTGCATAACATGTTGTTATAGTGAAGAACTGGAGTACACGAAAAAAAGTTTGCTTTTATTTTCTGGGATATATAAAAAACATTTTAAGAATGTGTAATCTACTAAGTTTAATTTTAAATTTAGTTTGACATTATAATAAAGTAACTATATATGTCTAGACAAATCGCGCTACAGTTATAAAATAACAATAATAAGTCAGTGATATAATATAAAATTTAAACGGGTACAGAGTTACATTTTTCTTCGCGGAGTAGTCGTGAATTAAAAATCCTGGAGGGAGGGGGAAAGGGGACTAAGCAAAATATATATTTAATATATATATATATATATATATTTTTTTTTTACCAATTTTTTTTGTGGGTAAGGATGCGATAAAGAAATGTTTGAAACACTAAACTGGGCAAACACACCAGTATACAAGTTTAATTCAATTATACTGTCATTTGATTAGCGAGAGGATCAGCTTTAAATGACGTGATATTATCTATAACATATTTACCTTTGATTTCATAATTTGCATAAAATCCTTTATGGGTGTTCAATCCATTTGCTTTGAACTCCAAATACAAATAGTTACTGGTTGATTCTAATGTCCACGGTTTCGATGAACAGAAACTCCCAATCAATGTTGAATTATTTGATGGACCGTCGTGTATTGTCAGGTTTTCATGAACACAATCATCGCCAAAAACAAAATCCGAAACACTGAATTTGATATTCATTTTTTATTTATGAGTAAACACAAACCAAAATGATTCCTAATTGTAAATATTCATTTTTATTGATTACATCTTACAGCGAAACATGAAATAAGTTTAATATTATTTTCGGTGCATTCTATTACACAAAAACCAACGTACTTGAGAACAATGTATGTATCTGCCTTGCCCTGTATAGTCCAGGTGTAAAACATGTTCCCCAGGCAACCAATTGGATATCCAGGACTAGAGATAAAACCTTTCGGTTCATTCAGTATGATGTGGGTATCTGCATTGGTCAAATCATGCAAATTGTCATTTAAGAAAATAAATGAGTGCCAATTTTGATAATGAAAGCATACTGAATTTTCAGTCGATGTTGCTATAGTTAGGTTATGTGTAATATAAGCATATTTTATTTTTGCTGCCTTTTCCCGTTTTGGCCCAAGACACGTGAGGTAGAAAAGTAGTGTTCATCTGTTTCAAAGACCTCGGTGGTCAGCACTTTATATAATCGCCTTCGCTAAGGTGTGACATTTTGATGATAGAAATAAAATATAATAAATTACAACGTGAGAAAATATAGCTATAGATTTATTCAAAATGACCAGAATAATGTTTTGTAGCAATAGTTTGCTAGTTTGGTCGAATATTCGTAGCATTTATGAAAAAAGTAATACGTCAATTATATTTCTTACATGTTTGTGTATTATATGTTGCTATTCTTCTAGTGCATGGTTTTTAACACATTTCTCTTTCAAGTGTTAGCACAAGTTTTGTCTGATATGCAAATACATCTGCTCAAAAATTTTGATTACTTACCTTGTGAATAAAACTCCCCATAAAATCCTCTGTATCTATCAGAACCATCTGTTTTAAAAGTGACCAACAGTTTGTTTGTTGTCGATACCATCACAGCTGAGTCTCCCCTATCACAAACTTTTCTAAAACTTCGATCATTTTCAGCAGCACCGTCGTACACGGTGATGTAGTCGTATTGACAAGACCCTGTTTCCACAAACGATATGCTACAAAAAAATATATTTTAAGAACAAAGTGGTTTAGTACAATGTCACCTACGTAAAAGGTACAACGTTTTAGTAATGTAAGTGTTATAAATACCTACTTTAAAATTATATTAGCTTTTGCTCGAGTTGATAGAGTCCATGTATATTTTTGATCATTCAAATATCGTAAGGGGTATCCAGGACTTGCCAACTTGCCCGACCCATAAAGTGTACAGCTTCTGTCTGTTTTAAGTTATATAAAAAGTACTATACAACAGTGGCGTAGCCAGGTCGGGTGTCACCCGGAGCGACACTTAATGGTGTCACCCCACCAGAAGCGTAGCGACCTTTCCCGGGTACAAATTTTCAATTTTGTATTTGCACCCCCCCGTTCAAACTTTCGATTACCACCCCTTCAAGCTTTTGATTTGCATCCTCCCCCGTTAAACTTTCGATTTGCACACCCCCCCCCCCCCCGCAAACTTTCGATTTGCACCTCTTAAAAGACTATTTAACACTATATTAAATTAAGCGGAATTATCTCTCTATATAAATTTCTCTATATATTTTGCTATTTTTTGCCTTGGTGTCACCCCCCTAAATAATATCACCCCATGCGGTCCGCATCCCCACCCCCGCCCTCTCGCTACGCCTCTTCTATACAACATACAGATGCAATTAACAGTATTTGTTAACAGGGGCGTAGCGAGGGGGGGGGCGGGGGTGCGGACCGCACGGGGTGACATCATTTAAGGGGGTGACACCAAGGCGAAAAATAGCAAAATATATAGAGACAAATTTGAGGGGGGATGCAAATCGAAAGTTTGAGGGGGGGGGGTGCAAATAAAAAACTTGAAAGTTTGTCCCCGGGAAGGGTCGCAACGCCTCTGGGGGGGGGGGGGGTGACACCATTAAGTGCCGCACTGGGTGACACCCGACCTCGCTACGCCACTGTTTGTTAACAGTGAATAAAAAGTGTATTTTTACATTCTCGTAAACACAGTTTAGAGGAAGTATTGTTATCATGCACAAAAATCACATGACATATTGACACCATTTTCACCTCAGCTTCTAATCATATACGGAGTATATATGGGCTTTTTGTGTGATGGCTACGACAGCAGCACGTTAAGGTAGTTAGAATAAATTTTGTATATAATTACAAGATCTTATATTGGAATAACTGGCAAATGCTTAGTGACCTCAAAAATTTGAAGTTATGTCATAATCCTAAAATACTGATAGGTTGTGAGGTGGATTGGAGTTGTTCTATTATAACACACTGACGAGAAGCCATGCTGTTTGTATATAGATTTATTGGACCTCTGCCATCATGATGGAGGCCGGAACAGGAAGGGACATCACTCAATAACAACATTATAAATATAACTAATACAAGAAGAGTGAGTTCCCCTGACCTCACAAATCCCAATATATTACATCCCTTTACCCTTAGTAAACACAACACATCTCTCAATAGAACAATTGACAGTATCCTAAAATCACCAAATATATTGTAACATGAACATTATGGTAGATTACATCCTTACAAACAACGCACAATATGTTACAACATAGTTAAAATACAAAACAATGATGTCAAAGTCCTTTTGACCCTTAAAATCATAGGTCTAACTTATCTGGGACTTTGATTGTCCTGTTTGACCTTCTCAGTGTCTTTTGATTTGGTGACTCAAGATTCTGACCATATGGATTCTCTATCTCAGGAGGTCTAGGATCTAAATCATTAATTCCAGAATTTACATTTTCTGACTCTAGACAACTTGGTTCACTCATATCAACAGAACTTGGTTGTGGAACAAACTGAGTTGGTGTGAACTGTTCAGATTTGGTGGGATTGACAGATTCACACTTATTATCTGCACAAGTTATTTTTAACTGGTCTGCATGTCTACGGACAATAAGTCCATCATTTGTTTTTACTTTATAAGACACAGGTCCTGTACATTGAACAATTTGACCTGGGATCCATTTTTCCCTTCTCCCATAATTTCTCAGATACACATTATCATTAACTGCAAATTCTCTTTCAATGGATGATTTGTCATGATTTACTTTTTGTGTATGTTGATGTTGGGAAACAGACCTTTGAACAGTTGGGTGTAGTAGGTCTAGATGAGTTTTAATTTTCCTACCACATAGCAATTCGCATGGTGCAACACCTGTTGTTATATGAGGAGTTGTGCGGTATTTGGTTAAGAACCTGTTTACTCTTTCTCTAAGAGAAAACTTGTTACCGGTACTCATTTTTACCATAGCGGTTTTGAATATGCCTACCGCTCTTTCAGCCAAACCATTCCCAGCAGGATGATAGGGGGATGTGGTTATATGCTCAATACCATTTGCTACACAAAACAGTTTAAACTCATGAGCAGTGAAACTAGGCCCATTATCTGAAACAATTTGATCTGGTAATCCATGAGTTGAAAATATTTCCTTAAGTTCTATAATGGTATCATTTGCAGTGATTGTGTTCATGATTTTAACTTCTAACCATTTAGAATGTGAATCAATAACAATTAAGAACATTTTGTTCATGAAAGGTCCTGCGAAATCTATATGTATACGTTTCCATGGTTCGATTGGCCAGTCCCAGTTTTGCAAAGGTGCTGTAGCTGGTTGATTTGAATGTTGTGCACAGCTTGAACAAAGCTTTACATATTTTTCAATATCAGCATCCATATGTGGCCACCAGAACCATGATCTTGCTAGGCTCTTCATTTTGGAAGAACCAAGATGAGTATCATGTAAAGTTCTTAAAACTTCTTTTTGTAACATTTTGGGGATAATAACTCTTGACCCCCATAGTACACATCCATCTTCTAGACCTAACTCCATTTTCCTTATTTTATATGGCCTTAAGTCATCATTCACAGACTCTTCAGGCCAACCATTCTTACAGTACTCATATACTTTTATTAAGCACTCATCTTTTTGTGTTTCTCTTTTAATATCATTCACATTTATATTGGAGTTATCCATGATAGTGAAAAGAACAAATACATCTTCTGGTACATAACTAGGGCTTTGGTTTTTTAAAGGTAATCTACTAAGACTATCTGCACTATTCTCAGATCCAGGTTTGTATTTCAATTCATAATTGTATGCAGTTAGTGTGATAGCCCATCTTTGAATTCTTGGTGAGGCATGCTCAGGTAGGGTTTTGTTTTCTCCAAATAAACCTATTAATGGTTTATGATCTGTATAGATGGTGAACTTCCTACCAAACAGAAACTTATGAAATTTCTTAACACCAAAAATGATGCCTAAGCCTTCCCTATCTAACTGAGAATAATTTTTCTCAGCCTGGTTCAAAGATCTACTGGCAAAAGCAATGGGTCTGTCACCCTTTTCATCTATGTGGGACAAGACTGCTCCTACACCATCTGGTGAAGCATCACATGTTAATATAAGTCTTTTCCCTGGGTCATAGTGAGTTAGTAAGGTGTCAGAAGACAAAGCTTCTTTTGCTGTATTAAAAGCAGCATCTTGTTGTTTACCCCAGTGCCAAGTTGCATTTTTCTGAAGCAGCTTGTACAGTGGTGATAGTTTACCAGACAGATTCCCTATGAACTTTGCATAGTAATTTATCAAGCCCAAAAAAGCTCTTAGTTGTTGGGTATTTTCAGGTTTGGGTGCTTCTTTAATGGCTTTTGTTTTCTCAGGTTGAGGTCTGAGACCTTGTTTGCTTAAAATATAACCAAGAAAACTAATTTCTGTCAGCATGAATTGACATTTATCTTTGTTTATCTTTAAACCTTTTTCACCAACTATTTTCAAGACTTTATCTAGTGTTTTAAGATGTTCAGTGTCATTCTTACCAGTTACGTACACATTGTCAAAGTAAACACAAACATTTGGAATATCCTTAAAAATACTGTCCATGACAGCTTGGAAAATTCCAGGGCTAGATGATATACCAAAACATAATATTTCATATTGGTAGAGTCTTTTATGTGTGTTTATTGTCGTATAGACTTTTGAATCTGGATGCAGTTCTAGTTGAGTGTAAGCATGACTAAAGTCCAATTCAGTGAATTTGTCTCCTCCTGCCAAATTCAAAGCAATTTCCTCAATGTTAGGAATAGGGTACCTATTTAGCTCTATTTGCTTATTCAGTGTAGCTTTGTAGTCTCCACAAATTCTTACAGAACCATCCTTCTTTAACACTGGTACAATGGGCGTTGCCCAATCGGAATAGTCTACCTTCTTTATGATGCCATTAGATTCCAATCTACTTAGCTCATTTTCAATTTTATTCCTCATTGCATAAGGTGGAACTCTAGCTTTGCAGTATCTTGGATTTGTGTCTTTAACGCTTAACTTCACTGTTCTATCATTTAGTAATCCTGGATTACCAAAAACACATTTATTGTCAGATATAACTTTATCTATTGAAGTAAGACTAGATTCTCTTGCATTGTGCAATGAACATATACTCTCCCAATTTAACTTAAGATCACTTAACCAGTTCCTACCTAGTAATGGTGGTCCATTTCCTTCAACCACAAGAAGAGGAAGTTTAACACTTTGACCATTATAGCTTACATGAACCATACACTCTCCTATCACCGGAACATTGTCACCAGTGTATGTTGTTAAACTCTTGTGACATGGCTGTAGAGGCACTGATCCTCCTGTGACAGCGTCAAAGTCCTTCTTTGTGATGACTGTTAGAGATGCTCCAGTGTCAAGTTGGAAGCTGATGCTCTTACCGTTGATATAAACTGGTACATTGATGGGAGCATGACTTATTGATTTCACAGAGAACAGGTTGAAATCCGGCTGCGAATCAGTTTGAGCATTTTCACTGGTAGAGTGGTTCATTGGTTGGGTTAGGTAGTCTTGGTGAGAGTTAACATAGTGCTGCCTTTGGTTGCGGTACTGTCTTGACTGGCTAGATTTAGCAACAGACGAAGACTTTGCAAAGCAGGCCTTGGCAATGTGACCTTGCTTACTGCACTTATAACAAGTTGCTAACTTGAACTTGCATCGATGAGATGCATGGGGACCTTTGCATCGATGACATTTTTGATAATTATTACTAGATTTAGATCTAGGATTTGAACGTGCAGGCTGTTTAGCATAAGTTGAAATGCTCTGATGGGGTTGGTGTTTGTTGACTAACCTGCTGTTTACTGCATGGATCTCTGAAGGTGCTAGAGATCTCGCCGCATCGGATGACTGCTGGAATGAAGTTGCAAGTGGTATTGCTTTTTCTAATGTTAGATCTGACTCGAGCAGCAACTTTCTTTGAATATCAGGGCTGTTTACACCTGTCACAAACTTTTCACATAGTCTGTCAGACAGCGTTTCTCCGAATTCACAAAATTCACTTAAATGACGTAAAGCAGCAACATATTCTGATATTGACTCGTTTGGTTGACGAGTCCTACTGTCAAATCTAGCTCGACATAGAAACTTTGATGGGGTAGGCGCATGGTGGTCTGTTAGCAATTTGCTCAGCTCGTTAAAGCTCTTGGTAGTTAGACTAGCTGGTGCGCATAAGTCCTTTAGTAGCCTAAATTGTTGAGGCCCTATGACTGTTAACAAAACAGCTCTCTTTTTGGCTTCTATCGTCACGTTGTTTGCTTCAAGGTAAAAGCTTAACCTATCTAGATAATCATGGATGATTTCATCATTCGAATCAATTTTTTTATTTGGCCATACAGCGCCATTTTCCTAGAAATACTTAGCCAATATGCTCTAGCAAACCTCTTTTTGAATAAGTAGGTGCTCTTTCTAGTGGATTATTTATCCTCGTCGCCAAATGAGGTGGATTGGAGTTGTTCTATTATAACACACTGACGAGAAGCCATGCTGTTTGTATATAGATTTATTGGACCTCTGCCATCATGATGGAGGCCGGAACAGGAAGGGACATCACTCAATAACAACATTATAAATATAACTAATACAAGAAGAGTGAGTTCCCCTGACCTCACAAATCCCAATATATTACAGGTTGAGTGCCTTTTCGTTTAGATTAACGAAAATTGAAATACAGGTACAAGATTTTATTCCCTATCAAAATTTAAACGATTTCCGGTGAACTAAAGTATTACTTAATGCTATTTTCAATTTCAGAAAAACAGATTACTTCCACCGGACATATTTCTTTAATTTTTTTTTACGCAGATCATGTGGCGATGACAACGTACTGTGACATAAAATTCGACGTAATTATATATTTAATTAAAATAAAAAAGATAAATAATTTTTTAATAAAGTAGTAAGCTTTCGTTCAATCAACATACATAATAATGCAACTGTATATCAATACAATGATAACAAAGTAACTTTTGTAAATATGTGTAATGAATGTGCGAGGAAACTCTAAGCTGAAAATAGCATTATGTGTAATTTAAAATAAAATGCATGACAGATATATATTACTAGGCATGCTGCCCAGCTTCGCTTAGGCTTTCGAAAACATTGAGAATTTGAATGCTTAATTAATTCGCCAGAGGGTCGGTCTACGACCTCAGGAGTTATGAAGAGGTTCCTCCGTGGACATTTTTTTCGATTTATAGCTCATATAATTCGCCGGTCAGTCGAGGTCAGTGTTGACCCCCTCATCGTAGACTTTTCGGCCAACCGGCCCTCGTGTTCTGTCGTCCCAAGGCAAGATCGTGCCAAATTTGAAGCGCCTGCGGCGCCGGGAAGTACCCTATCGGACACCCGACAACTTTGCTTTATATATTATAGAGATTAGCAAATTGCATAGATAAACAAAGATTTCAATAAAGTAATTAAGGCCTGAAATACTTTAGTATAGAAATGTATTGTTTGAATAGATTCTAGATCCAGGTAGGGTCTACATCTGTGTAAGTCTAGTTTCTCCGTAGATCTAGATCATCTAGATCTAGAATCCTAATAGAATTTTTTTTTTAAGTTTAGCCCGAGCAAAATAAAAAAAAATAGATTAACCAAGTAGACTTGGTGCGTCTCGAACCCGCACCACCTGCGTGGGTTTAAGTACACTATCATCTCCGCTATATAAGCACTTTATAAATCACGGAGAATAAAAGACGTATTTTAAAATCTTAACTTACGCGAATATGCCTATTTTTTTTCAAATTAATTTTTTTATCCCAAATTAGCCAGTTCCAAACAAAGACTTTGTATAAAATAATTATGTCTTGAAATAGTTTAGTCCTAATATAGACATTTATTTTTGGAATAGATTCTGGAGAAGTTAGAGTCTAAATCTAGATCTTAGCGTCTACGTCTCGATCTAGATCTAGTTATTGCGTAGATTTGTAGATTTAGATCTAGTCTAGATCTAGAATCTCTAGATCTAGAATCCAAATAAATAAAATAAATTTTATGAGTTTAGGCCGGAAAAATTGTATTGTATACATTTCATAGTGTACGTAGATCTAAATCAAATTTGAATGAAATAGTTCATTTCTTTTTATTGTAAACACGGCAGATTACGTCATTAGTTAATGTATAAGCAATAGTGACGTCACAGTTTTATGCGTTCTTTTTCACATCCATTAATGCTTTTCCGGTTGCATAAATAATACTGTTTCTCTACATTCGAATACGCCTTAAATTTTTATTTTTCTTCTTTAAATAAAATTGTGGTTATACATTTAAAACATCTAACATATTATTTTCAACAAAAGTCCGTAAAAAGTTCTCGATATATCGCTGCCGATTCTGACGTGATGTCCGGCGAAAATTTTTTGCGGACAGAGAAAGAGAGAGAGAGAGAGATGTGCGAACCTCGGGCTTTATAGATTTAGATTACAGGCTATATCTTAAATATTAAATGTTTTACCTCATTCTGCATATAATTAATCATTATCAAATACTGTAGTATTGAATAAATTACCTCGTATCTCATAATTTCCATAAAATCCTTTATATGTGTTTGACCTATTCGTTTTTAACACAACAAACATAGAGTTTCCTGTTGAAGCTTTTAACCCAGGTGGTGTTGACGAGCAGAAATTTCCAAATGGTGTAGATCCGTCATAGATTCTTAGGTAGTCATACTGGCAGTCTTCTTCTAAGTCTGAAATACTGAGAAAACCATACCTAATTTTATTTTAAACTTGCTGTCATTGTGATAGTACTTACTGTTGCAAATTTTTCTCAAATATTTGGCGCATACTAAAATACGGGGCTTTAATTTACAAAATGTAAATTAAAAAGGCAACCTACTCAAGGACGATATAACTGTCAGTTTTCCCCTGTATAGTCCAGGTGTACAACTCGTTGTCAAGTTTGCCAAACGGATATCCAGGGCTGGAGATATTTCCTTGAGACTCGTTCAGAGTGATGTGGTTATCTTTGGCTGTCACATTTAACTTACGTCAGTTATTCGAACAATTTTAAAGACGTATCGTTTAATGAAACTCCAATAGATAATATTTTATGATTTTGATGAAGTAAAAATGTATTTTAAATATATATTGAAATAGTCTAAAACTATATTTAAAATGAAAATCATGTTCAAATCACAATAGAGCAAACACGATACAGCATCCAAAGTAATCATCTAGTTCAAAGCGATTTTATTATATATTTTTAGTTTTTTTAAAACTTATTTGTGAAGCCCTGTTTTTATAGCAATGTACCGTTGTCATATTTTATTAATTAATGCCATTAATTAATGCCAGTTTTGATATTAATACAATTTTGTAGACATGTAATTCCAATAAATAATGTTAAAAATTACAACAGGAATAAATATTTAATTTCAAATTTACTTTACAACTATTAAGTTAGAGCTAAATAGAAAATTATAAAATGTAATAACTTGAAATTATAAAATTATTAACTGGCTGTCAATCTTCCAGCGATCAGGTGAAAGAAGAGGTTGTACATTCGTACTCAATTGTACTCAATTACAATCAACATATATTGTTTTCTCTCCACTCGAAACAATAACTTGCTCTAGTCTCCTTTTTCAAACATCACGAGGACGTTTGGTTGGTCGTGGTTTGGGCAAATCCAGGTGTACTTATGTTATAGATACGTGTCAGCTTAATCTGTATGAGAGTTTTAAAATCGTCTATAATCGCTCCCTTTAAGGGGGAAAGCTAGTGTGCGTCGTGTATTTATGCGCGCTGTGTTTTAGAAGTCTTATACAAGGTTATGTGTATTTTACAAAATGACTGCACGGCAAGCTCAAATTTAAGGTTTGTATTTAAACAAGGTAGATAACGTCTTTAACTATATTACAATATCTATAGTCTGCATACATTGTATTAAAAAGAAATAAATACCCTAAGTTAGAATTTATACCAGCAAAGTAACATTTTATTAGTCACTGGGATGGCTATTTGAGGGGATATTGTTAAAACCAGGATTTAGAATTCAATGTAGCCTACTACATAATTTTAGACTATTTTTTTACGTTTAGGCCACGACAAGCCAACCTTCTTAATTTCTCGTTAGGGCGATCTCACTCATGACGTATTTTGTCTTAAATTACACTGTGAATTCCACACCAGAGTCTGTCTATTGGTATTACTAACTGTCTTCCTGAGGGTATCTCTAACTGAACCTGTTTTCCCAACTATAGTTTTCTTCTCCGATGTTATTTTTTTATATTCTCATGAGTGAAGTTTAAACATGTCAAATATTGTTTTAAGTTTTATATGTGTGCCATGATTATTAGTTGCTTTTTGTGATAATTCAGCATTGGCTTCAGTACGTTAACAAGATTTCTTCCTTGAATATCTACATTCTTAATCGGTAACATCATTAATATTAAATAGAATGAAGGTATCATCTCCGAAATTAAAGTGTACAGGTATTTTGAGTTTATATAGTGTGCTCCAATCCGTTATTTTCCAGTATCGAGTCAGGGAGAAGTAATAATATTAAATGTAAAATCAAATACCCTTACTAAACCTAATGTTTTATTACTGTTTTTGATTGTTTGTCTTTAGTTATCATTTGGATTGTTGGAGATGTGGTGTAGTGTGGCGATCAAAGAAATAAATGTGTAGGTGATTCTAAAGTGCTTCATAGTTTTCCATACTAATGACCTGTCTATAGGCCTGCTGTAAAAAGCAATTTTTTAAATCTATAACAAGTGTATGAAGAAATAAAAAAAAAATTACCGTGTGTATAAAACTCTCCATAAAATCCTTTGTATGTCCAAAACGTATCTGTTTTAAAGGTGACAAAAAGGTTGTTTGTTGTCGATATAATCACGTCTGACACTCCCCTACCACAGATTTTCTTAGAACTTTGAGCATTTTTAGTAGCTCCGTCGTACACGGTGATATAGTCTGCGTTACAATGCTCTGTTTCCACAAACGATAGACTATAAGAAAAATAAGTGTTAATTAGTACTAAGGTTTTTCTGCAATGTCACTTACATTTTTAATTCTACGTTAATGTATGGTCAGTGAGACATGAACCTACTTTAAAATGAGACGTGTACCAACACGTGCTGATAGACTCCATGTAAATTCCTGATTATTCAAATATCGTAAGGGATATCCAGGACTTGCCAACTTGCCTACCTCATATAGAGTATAGTGTCTGCCTGTTTTATTCGATGGAATTAAATCAGTTTAATAAAAAGACAAAAAATAATCTGAATACAATGCACATTGGCTATGCTTTTAATTGTTGTACATACTTGGTAGGATCTAACATAAATTACATAACTTTCCCCTAGTTGGATACCCCAGAGTGTACAGAGTTAATATTTAGTCTAACAGTAACTTTTTGGCTCTCCTCTATAAAACACTTGGCAGCGTATATTTTTATAGCAATTTTTTTCTGACATAAATTCCTTTTATAGTTTACAAATAATCAAAACCAGTAGTAAAACATTAGGTTTAGAAAGGGTATTTGATTTAGCATTTAATCTTATTTCGGAATGATCCGCACTGTGGTACTAGAGGTATCATTTGCTTCGCGAAACACAGTGTTTGCGGTGTAAGTGATGTCAAAATTACAGTATTGAAACTGGCACAAACTATCATGTAGAATTATTTGCGGTTACTATCTGTAGAATGACCATCATTGCTGGATACAAGTCACCTAGCACGCCGAACAGTTTGTTTCGAACAACTTTCCAAATATTTTTGAGTAAAGTAAAATTTGTTGAATAAATTGTTGTGATTGGAGATCTGAACTTCAACATCTTGAACAATGTCAGTAGTGACTTGCTTGACTTTTCCAAGCAATATAAACTTACATCTGCTTTACCAATGGAAATCCCAACCACCAATTTAAATACACACATAGATGTCATATTTTCAACAACTTTAGTCGTTGCAAGACTGTATGAAACGTTTGTCTCTTACCATAAGACTGTATATTTTATATTCAAAGACAATAAACTTTCTTTCTAAAAGAAAATAACGGACTCTATCACCATGGTCGCTCTTCCCTAAATAGAATGGCGAATTAAAGATGAACTAAGACCAACATTCCACACATTTTCTGATAAATACGTTATTAATACCTGCCAGGTCCTTAAATCAAGAGAAATGTGTGCACCATCAGCTTCTAAACTAAACATATTTCTGTCGGCAAATAGTGTTCAAGCTCCTACATGCGTAGCGAACTTTCAAGGTCTGTTTATTCAGGTACAAACTATTCTAAACTATTTTGATAACAAGAGACGTAGCACATCTGCGACTGATTTCCATAGTGCTAGTGCTAATATTAAACATAAAACATTGAAAAACTTATTAAGTGTAATAAGTCCTTGCAAGGTACATATCCAGCGTGAAATCATTCGCCTAAGGACTGACGCTAAAGCAGAATATGATCCATCACTGGCAGCAGATGAAGTTAAGGGATACTACAGGAAAGGAATATGCCATGGTTTTTTATCTTATTTCTTTGTATGTGATACACGAGCCGACGGTAACTGTTTTATTAACGCGTTGTCTCTCTGCATGTTTCAATCGAAAGCACAGTGTGAGGGTACGGGTGAATTGGATGGATCTTCTCGCCACCAGTTGTGAGGGAAATAAATAGAAACCACCACCAAATGTGAGAGTAGGGGTGGTGAAGATGAAAAGATCCAACACACAAGTTCAAGTCCAAAATAAAAAGTTCTTTATTCAAATTTGTACCGAATCAACTTCCTGCCTACTATTCTACACTGTACTACTATCATTTCTACTTAACTGTTCACTGTACTAATAACTACGCACTCCCATGACCAACCCTACCACACTACCTAACTGTTCCCTACCTCTACAAAATTACGACCGTCTTCAACCGATACCTACCACCTTCTGCTTTCCTCGCTAGCTACCTATAAACTCCTGGTCTAAAAGCAGACCACGCTTCAGTGGTCTGCTGACCGTCCTACGTGACCGGTCAGCTCCTGTACTTTCATTGGTCCCTCTAACCCAGTGGTTCCCAAACTTTTTCGAGTGGCAACCCCCTTTTATAAAAAATTCGGTGACCCTCGACCCCAAAAGAATTAAAAAGTCGAAATTTGTAAGGAAATTAATCAGTACTAAAATTGGATTTTCTAGTAGACTTTCAATGTGAATTATTATTAATAACTGTTTTAATACGATGAGTCAAACTGCATGCTATTAAATAGCCTCGACATTCGCGGTTGAGTTTTTGTTAGCGCTAACCTCGTGTCATTCGTAATATTTAATTTATTTCTTTATTTTGTTTTTAATTTGAGAAGTGTTGAAAATCTGTTCTCGCAAAGATATGTAGACACAAAAGGAACTAAAACTCAAAAGTCAAACAATTTCGCGTTTGGGTATGAATGGTGCATACTACACCACAATTTGGTGATCAGTTTTTCATTTCACGCGGAATCATTCCTTACATTTAAGAATCCATCTTGTAATTCACTGGGAATGCTCGCAACATCAAGGGAAGAAGAGGATGGGTACCGTGTAAATGCAGATTCTTCTTCTTTCAGGTCAGGTATAACGACGCAGTTCGATGCAAAGAGATTCAAGATGCCCAGAAATCTGCTCTTTCAAATTTTTAATTACCTCACAGTCGTACTCACCAAACATTGCAATATTTACAAGATTTATTTTTCTTCAACAGTTTTGAAGATTTGATAATCATGAAAAGAGATAATAGCGTAGCCAGCGTACTGTAATGTAGAAAAGCATAACCTCGTGATCTTTATTCATATCTTTGCAAAGTTCTTTAAACAGACGGGTGTTTAGGGCTCCAGATTTAATATAATTTACAACTTTCATTAGCGTTAGAAATGGTCTCGAAAGAGTCTTGCTGGCGAGGGCATACCGGTGAATCATGCAATGGATTCCATTGGATAGGGAGCCAAACGTATTACTGTTTTCTGAAAGCCCGATCTTGACCCAAAAATAGATGGCACACCATCTGTACAAACCCCACAGCCGTTTTCCCATTTTTATTCATCCAGTTAAAAAAAATGTATTTATTTTCTCCATGACATCTTCACATAATAGCAACTCTTCATTTTCTTCTTTAATATCATCTGAATGAATATATTTCACAAAACAAGCAATTGTGAACACGAATTCAAGGCTGTTGATTCAACAACTCGAAAATCAAACAATTGTGAAAGCTTGATTTCATTTAAAATGTATCCTTTTACATCTACATGCATGCCTGCTAAAAGCCGCTGAATAGAATTATTAGACAGAAATATCCGTTGCATCTTCACTGCATTGAAATCCCCAAAAATTAATTTCACCATCTTCAACATTCAGGGTTTGATGAGATTTTCTCCTATTGTGTATGAGTTTTTTTTTTAATTGGCTTGTTTTAAGGCTACTTCATATCAGTGTTTTTTCCAGAATTTTTTTCCGGGGGGGGGGGGGCACTAGAAATTTTTCGGTGGGGGGGGGGGGGGCGGACACTGTTAAAAGTATATATTTTCTATATAAATTATATACATTTCATTTCGTTCGGGGGGGGGGGGGGGGGGACGGTATAATTTTTTTGCGGGGGGCGGGGGGGGGGGGGGGGGCTTCGCCCACCCGAAGACATGCTCGGAAGAAACTCCGCTTCATATGATGCTTGCACTAATGCTGTGTGACAACTTACTGTTCGATCAAGTATCAGACGTTCGCAACTAACTTCAAGCCGACGAGAGAACACACTATCTTTTTTGGTGTGTTCCGAATAAATCTTCTCAAAATTAGTTTTAGTTTTGAAGGTCATAGACTCGTTGATGAAAACAATTTTACACAGTACGCATTGTTTCTTTTCTATTCCATTTCCAGTGATGTTAGTAAGGCCAAATTTCAGATATTCTTCTAAATAATTAATAATCATTTTTTTTTTCATTGCTACGGTTTTGTCTACCAAGGGGGTCGCGACCCCCAGGTTGGAAATCCGTGCTCTAACCAATTCGCTATAGTCTGTTTCTGCTAACCTCTATCTACTTGACCTGACGGATGTAATATTGAGTCATCACACACAGGCACAGAACATTCGCTTGCTCATAGCATCATACCTGCTGCTTAATCCGACAGTACATGAAAAGCTTATCCAGATGACTTACGGAGAATTCTCTCAAAGGTTGGATTATCTTTATGTGTGCTTTAAGAACTACATCTGTGCCGGCGACGTCCAAGCATATGCTGCTTTCTTTGTTTTTGAACGAACCTTTATTAGGATAGGTGGTCTTGATCAGCATTTCCACCAGTTAACAGAAATCCAACATTTATCTCCAAAAGATTTATTACAGTGGCTCTCTCAAGCCACCTGGAGAGTTCAGAAGTGATGTAAACAGATTAATCCAAAAGAAACGGGTGAGAGCCCTTATACATTCTTTATCAGGTGAATCACTTCATGGCCATGCTACCACGAACTGACTCAGTCGCAGACCTTCTGTACCTTTCACCAGAGGTTGTTAATCTCAACTACATTCCCATTGAAGAATAAAGAATATGTGAAACGGATTATGAATTATTTTTTTCCATAATGCCTCAGTGAGTTAAAACAACTTAGTTTTTCAATTGTGTATGTATCTCTTTGTGTGTGTATCTGTTTTTCTGCCTGAGTGTGATAATTTTAAATCATGTATATATATATATATATATATATATATATATATATATATATATATATATAATTCTCTTCTGGAAGACGCTAAAAAAGAGCTCCCCACCACCCCACCCCTACATGGTCTGGTGAGCTTTTGTTCACGCTAAATGTTTACAGTCGTGGAGCCGGGTTTAGTAGGGGCAGATAATTTAGTTTGAATCGATTTTAAACTTAGGGGTGGTAACTAAGAGGAGGCTGTTTTCACGGGGGTGGGGTATGGGTTGGGGAAAGGGGAAGGGGGGTATCGTCCTTAACGAGCTACTGAATGTTTTAAAGCAAATAAATTAAGTGGCAGCATTGGTACTGTCGAATTCACAAATTATAAATTACGGAAAAGTAGAAAATCAAACAACTAAATAGCGGCGTATGATACGCCGCGGGTCGGCTCGTACTGATTAAAGCAGCATGGTTTATGAACTTTTCGACTACATTGTGTATTCTTTAAAACACAAACAACGGATTTGTCACAAAAGTTGATATTTCTTT